CAGAAGTTCGCTAGAGCCCAGCACTGCCAGGTCCAGCTTCTGGGGGGGTTTTCAACTGAAAGGAACACCACTGCGACTGATCTGAAGGTGCTGGCAATGAATCCAGTCAGACTGGGTGGCACGAGCCGGCTCGTGCTTTCGGGGGTCGAGTTTCATCAACAGCACTAAAGAACAATCCTGTTCCAGAGCAAGTGAGAAGCAGAAGAGTAGTCACCTGGGAATGCTCCTCCCAAAAGCACGTTCTTTTCGTTAACCCCTAAGAAGAAGTGTATCAAGAATGAACCATCCAAATAGACACGTGCGGTCTTTGCTTAAAGACGATATTCCCCCTACAATGCCCTACAAGAGAACGGTTTTGAGGGGATGCTTCTTGTAGGGCCGTCCTTGATTCGCCGGGTCTCTGGTCGATCTCACTCCTTGAGATCGCACTGCTGGACCTTGCAAGCCACACGACCTGACAGCAGTGAATCAGGTGAACTCACAGGGAGCGAGTGTCAGATTCCGGATGGGAGCAACCAAGGCTCTGTGACCTCCCAAAATCTGGGAGGTGTCCAATTCGACATGAAACATCATCAGCTGACATAGCCCACGACATTTCTCCATCTATGTCATACATGGCGAATGTTCAACGGCAGGTCTTCCCTCGGACCCGACTGCCTCACGGGTCGAGAGGCTTGGGAGGCGTGGAGAATGAAGGCTTCTGGTAGGTCGACCGACCACCCAGAGCTCCTAACTCGGACACACCTGATGACCGGACGTGTGTTTTGTGACCTTGATTCTTTTATATTCTTTTCTATTCACTGAAGGATAAGTCACTGAAGTCACTGAGTGGTTCTTATCCCTGAGGTCACTTCCAGCCTTAAATCGCCCTTAGGAAAGGGCACTTTGAGCACCGTGAACAGCCATTGGCCAATTGGATAATTGGAGGGCTGGCTGGCTGGTGGGTTGCTTGGGGTTAATAGATCTTCGGCCAAGGCATAGGAAGCATGCGCCGAATCACACGAAGAATCCTGTGATCAGTTGCCAGGGATGACAAACAAAAATATACAAAAATAAAGAAGCAAATGATATCCCTCAAAATTCAGAAAGAGCATGAGCCAAAAATAACCTTTAAGACTCATAAGATGATTTGCTTATATACTCTGGATATCTCCATTTTCAGACTTCGTGCCTCACGTGCAGCTTCGAAGCGAATCGACCTTCGACCCTGACAACTGCGACTCGGGCCCTTGTCTTGGCCATGACATGTAGAGGGGGTCGGCTTCCTGCTGAATGCTGTGACCCCAGAACCTCTTTCTGTTTGACGCAGAGTGGGCGACCTCCGGCTTCGACGGATCCGATTCCGGCCCCTGACCTGCTGGCGCTGAGCAAGCACGCCATGGGGTTGGTCTTCCGGTGTCCCACGAATGGTTTGCCGTATTCGATCTGTTTTATATGGTCCCATGAGGGTCTTCTAACGTCTACCCGACCTGGAGGCAGTTCATTGGATCCTGCAGGTGTTGAACGTCTCTAGGCGTCTCTCAAGGCAGGCTTAGCAGCGGATTTTGTTGTGTCCACGGATCCAGCGTGGCGATGGTCTCGTTTGGTCGGGTTGGACGGATCTCCTCCATGGGGCTTTCTATATCGGTCCCTGGTTTCGAGTGGAACACTGGTTGATTCAGCTGGGCTGGGCGGCTTGGCAGTATGGCTGCAAGATAGATGACAGATACAACCAAAGGTTCCAAAGGGAGTTGGTTTTTAGTCCCATCCTGAGAAAAAAAGATGTTCTGAGTACCCCTAGCCTCCAATATGCACCCCGACATGACAAATATGAATTACGGTACTTTCCAATCGCACAACCAACCAACCTCACATCCAGTGCTGCCGACCTTGAAAACGCCCACTGCTGGAGGTCCTTTCACGAACTCAGCTTCGCCCCCCTCCAGGATCCTCCAGGGGGTTCATGAGTCACGGAGACCCCATGGTCCACTGGTCAGAAGGGAAAACACCACCCCAATGGCCCAACCCCCCCAAGCTCCTTCTGTTGGAGGGTCTAGTTGGAGGATCTCATTTAAAGATAGACAGACCTCGCGTTGTCAGGTGCAATAGACATTCTCATGGTTTGTTCGGGTCAAATGCAAAACTGTAACCAGTGCAACCGAGCATCTAGCTAATGACAGCCAATCCAATCATTATATACTGGCAGTTGTTGGGTTCTGATTTGGGACAACAACTAACGGTGTTGTGGAGTCTCCGCCTGTCCCTTTCCAAATAGAGATGGGGGGGCCGCCAGTACCCCTTTTGTAGGGATCATTGGGATCCTATGGCAGGTAGAAACCAAAGATGCCGCAAAAAAAATACCCGAATCCAGCGTGTTGTGAGGTTCAATCTGCCAGGTAGGGTCATCATGTGGGGCTCCATCTCATCATTAGCATCAAAAGTATCCTTTCCGGCAGATTGCCCCTGAATAAAAGAATGCCCCGAACCCTCTCGTAGGCGGAAGAGTTTGAGATTCTGTGGATCCACGCCTCCATTGGTACTAGCAGCCATGACAACCGACTCAGTGACTGGAAGGTGTCCAGTTTTGGTTGCTTCATGATTCAAGCGCCCAAGAATAGCCCCAGATTGGATGACAGGAGCTTGCAAGCACTTTTTGGCAGATGCTTCAGGTTATATACAAGCAGAATTTGGGAACATTACATGAGTATATAATGGACGAACCTACGGTTATAGAAACCTATTGGGGATGGTCATGGGAGATAGCCCCCTGAAAGCCAATTCCGACCTATAGGGTCAAATCCTCAGATCTCTATACTTTGGGGAAACTCAGCTGTCCAGTCGAGGCTGCATGGGCCACTGTGCGGCCAGGATGGCGGACTTGACTCAGGTTAGGTTCTGAGCTCGTGAACTGCCAGAAGCATGGACCAACTGAAACTCAGTTGGACCTGAATGACATACTTCGATGAGGAACCTGATACATGACCTGGAGACTGAGACCTCAAGTGCAGCCCCTGCGGACCCCAAAAAGGATGTAGAAAGCAATTGTGAACGAAAGCAAGTCGTGTCCAGGAGGGGACGTGGTTTCCCCCCGTGCACCCGCCGTTCTTTTCCCCTTGCTTTTCATCCCCCAACGGTGCTGATCCATCGCCCGGCGTGGTCGCTGTGCGCCATGCCATCGGCCACGCTCTTCGAACGTGGCCGTCGTGAACGACGGTGCCGCGGGTGGACCGCGCAGGTTCCGCGGAGTTCTGAATGGATCGAAGTCGACTGAGCTCGTTCGGACCGTTTCGGAAGGAACCACCGGTGAAATCCCTGGGCTCCTCCTGTGACGGGAGGCCGGTCCTCTCCGGGTGAAGGCAAGGAAGGCCCGAAAATAAAGACCGTTTCGTACCTAGGAGAAGCCTGTGACAATGATGTCCCACCGAACGGGAAGAATAGAAGAGTTGGTTTGGTACTGTATAGGTAATTGCTTGTACACGACCGGGGTGTCCCCTCTATTAACCAACCAATGGTTAAAGGCCAACGACGATCTTGTGCTTTTTAGTGTGCTCCTGAAGAGCCTTTTGAGTTCCTGTGATTTCGCACCATTCAGGCTGCATTAACAGGCGGAGTGTCGCTGGCGAGATGTGGATGGAAAGAATTCGCCTCCAGTTCAGACTTAGACTTTTGCCCTAGTTACGAGAATGCTGCTTGTAGGCATCCCTGTATGCTCGCCTTTTCTTGGCCTTCACTACACCTTTCAGCATTCTAAACACCAGTCCTGAGCTACACATATTACACATGTTGCTTCTCTTCGGGGGTGAAAAACAGTAACTGGTCACTAGCTGCGACTGAGCTTCACAAGTGAGCTTAGCGTCGGGTGCCTGTACTACATTGAGCTTCACATCGCCCTCTTCAGTGGATCCTCTTATCAGTTTCTGGTTCCAACATATTCCGAAAACAAACTCAACATCCAGAGCTGGAGGGGGTTGCTCCCTTCCTGCTTCTTAGCTCTAGAGTCCCAAGACCAGAGATGACTGCAAGACCTCTTCCACCCACTGAGACGCGCCATGCAGAGCACTCCTTTCGCTGTCGGAGGATGCAGCTTTGTCACCCCCCGGCGAGCGGCTCGTGAGCCTGCCGTGGTCGTCGGGAGTCTCGCCCAACGGCATAAATAAACACCACCATGGCCAGTCCCAGACTTGGACAACATGTTGGTGACATGTGACCTGTGACCTGTGACCATTTCCATCCCTTTGTTTCCACCTACTGTTCTCATAAAGCAGCTTGAAAGAGAAAACATATGGATGTCCATCTCATCCAAGTCGTTTTTTTGCTGTGTTGCGGCCAATATACATGGCTAGCATATGCGCCATGTCCAGGTCTGCGCTCCACATCAGTCTGGCCAAAGATCCAACCTGATGGCTGCAGGCATCTGCCACACTCAGGAAAGACGTCTTTGTGGGTAAAATACTGAGGTTTCTACGGTAGAAAGCGGCCAAGAGCCTTGAACGCAAAAGAACACAGTTTTATGGGCACTTGCGATCAGCACGAAAAAGAACCAAGCGATTGAAAAAATGGGTAGAGAGCATTTTCGCAACAACAACAACAACACCAACACCGGGTCTCTTTCCTTCTTCCAAGGCGTTTCGATCCACAGCCAGGGTGAACCTCACGGCACTTACGTCACTGACGACGTCACGTCACCTTGCCCTGAATCGCTCACCCGATCTGAGGATGAGCCAGCCAGATCTTGGGAGCCAGACCGGCCTGCTGGAAGAAAGGAGCCTGGCCCCTTCCTTTCCGGCCGGCAGAGCTGATGTTCACCCAAACAAAGATTCCAAGGTGTTATAGAAGATGAAGATGTTGCCACAGTGAAGCGTTCAACAGTATAAGAAGGCAATCTATAGACCACCCACCTTCAGAGTCTGGGACCTTCCCCCGAATAAACTCGATGTTGAACGAGTTTAGTAGGGTACCTCTCTTCCAACCATTCAGTTACACCTTCATCCCGACCTTCAAGCCTCTCCAAAACAAGTTCTTGGAAAGACCTTGTGTCCCATCCAAAAAAAGACTAGGTCTAGACCGACCATTCTGTTTTTTTCCAAAATGCCTCATGTAATCCTATGACCTGTCAGGACAAGGGGAAGTGAGGGTTCTGATGACAGCGCGATGCTGGAAAAATAAAACAACTATGTAAAAAGAATACGTCCTAAAGCGAAACGAGCCAAAAAATCGGTCATTCATCTTCATGCCTCGTTTCAACGGCCCCCCTCCCCCCAAAAAAAAAGAAACACACACACACACAAAGACAACTTCTCGAGAAGCTACGCTCAGCAGCGACGCCGCCGAGCTCCGCGCGTGAAACGCGTGGATTTCGGGTGTTTCCGCGCTTCCTCCCTCGGTCCCCGCGCAGGCCGTGGGGGACGAAGTCCGCCAGGTGCTCGCGGGGGAAGCCCAGGAGCCTGGGGAGGGAGGGCGCGGAAGCGGAGACCGGCGGGGAGGGGTGAAGCGGGGAGAAACCGGTTGTGGAACCAGGTAGGGGCAGTCCTGGCAGTCCTGGGGCAGTCTTGCTTGCTTTTTCGTCCTAAGAGGAAGAGACCCGAAGTGTGGAGCCTCGATTCTCGAGATTCTTTTGGGGGGGACCTTTTGGGGGTTTTGGGCAGGCAAAGGAGGACGTATACAACATGGAAGAGATTCTTTGAAAAACCTCCACAAAGCAAGAGATACTTGGTGGAGGATGTGACTCTTGTGGCCAAGAGCATGCCAAGAGCAAGAGGACCACAAGCTTGTGACGGTGTCTGACCGACACCGTTGAGCCACAGCGAGTCGTTGCCACCGGTGGTGGACATTTCTTTCATCCTCCCCAGCACCACCAGCTACTGATGATCTTGCAGGACAACCCTTCTACTTGGATGATCTCCTGAGGATTCAGATTGGAAACGATGCCGGACAAAGAGCTTTGAGCCACTGATGAGACACGGAGACACACGGAGACACCCACCAAATGCAACTCTGGATGGGGCCCCTAACTTTGGGTGCTTAAGGCAGCTACATAGCCAGAAGTATGTCAGAACCTCGTAGTTCTTAAAGGAATCCAAACGCCTCATGTAAGACCAGGAAGAGCCACTTGATCTTGTTCTCCTGCCCTTGCTCCCCTGGTCTGTGCAACACCAACGGCACTCGACGCCACTACTCGTTCTCGCGCCGAGCGGCTCCAAGCATTGCTGCAAGACTTGGATCATCGTCGCGCCTTCGGCCCACGCCTGGGTGGTCGAAAGAAAGAACCAAGAAAGGGAAGAAAGGTCACCAGCGCTTCTTTAGACCACGTTCTTCGCGCCAAGAGTCAAGAGTCGCCACTTTTCATGTGGGCCCTTGTGTGCCCGTGTGGAATCTTTCTCTGGGCAGCTTTGGGCGGTGTTCGTCATGGGGTCTTCATGGCTTGCGGCTGGTGACAATGAATCTACGTAAGCGTTCTATGGTCCCCCCTCCTGCCAGGCGAACCAACGTGGGAAGGCCGAAGCACCAAATCCTATGATGTGGCCAAACTGGAGCACCATCGGTTGGGGACTGGATGCTTTCCTCATCGGTTTTTTTGGCCCGTTGGATCCAATGTGGGCAAGTACCCTCCCTGCAACGGAAGTGGACAACCCCTCTTGGTAGAGGAAAATCGTTTCTCCACTTCCATGATTGCTTCAGGGAGGGTCATATTGAATCGACAGATTGCGTGTGACACAGAACCAATCGTAGACCTGCGACGGAAGCAACGTCGCCCTGTCCCCTGTGTGGTGATTCCGAGGTCACCCTTGCATGGAATCGCATGACCCCCAAGAAGGATAGAAAAGTAAATTCCCATGTCGAAAAATCGTCTTGGAAACCGTGCCACTCTCGATTTGGGGCTCAGGTCGTTCCAACATGAGGAATTCCGAACCAATCGCTGGGCTTCTCATGAGCTCCCCAGATCGGGAGGGTCGGTCGACACCAGGTCGACACGGGGCGTTTGGGGGGGGTGAGGTCAACTAGAGGCCGCATCGCTCCACTCACATGCATGTTGCTTAGAATCCCAATGTTGACCCAAAAAGAAACCCCATGGAAGCGAAGCAGAAACATGTCAATGTGAAGCATCTTCTTTGAGCCTCTTCGTCCCACTGTTCTTGTGAGTCTCAAACGTTTCAAACGTTTCAAACCGCGACGCGCGGGCCTCTTCGCGACAGAGACCCTGGATGTAGACTCCACAGAGATCGAACCTGAGTGCGTCTCCAGCGAACCCCTCGTCACTCACATAGAGCCTGAGGTCCTGGCCTGGAAGATGATTTCTCTACCAACCAGTGGTGAAACCAGGGACTCAGAACCAGGTACCACCTGGTACCGGAGGACCAACTGTGTGCTAATGACCCAGAGGATCTGGGTCAAGCGAAGCTGGATCGAATCGACGTGAACTCGGGGGAACCGTGGAGAAGTGGATTCTCGAACGAAGGAAGACGTGGATGTCCTAGCTGTTTGGAAGAATTGAGTGCTGAACTTGATGCGAGTCAAGTCTACCTACCATGCACTGCAAACGCCCATGTGACTCTGATGTGTTGCAAAAAGTACCACCAAACATCCTGTTGTCGCCATGGCATCCACCAGGCTTCCCCACATGCCGTGCAACTGCCGCCGCGGCAGCTGTTGCAGAAAGGAGGCCAAACCAGCGCTGAGTGCCACATGGCCCTGGTGGCTCTTGGATGAACACCCAGGGTTCTCCGAGCTTCCCAACAGAATCAAACACCAGACTCAGTACCGTCTGAGTAGCGCCACAGCGGCGTTGTTTACTTTCTCTGAAGATCTGTGGTCTTCATGGTTCTTTCATGACCTTGGGAATGAAGGCATGGCCCTGGGCACACAAGGCAGAAGTCTAAGAAAACTAGGGAAAAACTGTTGGAAAAGTGACCTACATCCCCGAACTCAACATCGCCCGATAGTCTTGCAAACTCTTCAGACAGGCGAACCGTTCCGTGACACCAAATTCCTGCAAGCCGGCTGGCTCTGACATCTAGTCTTGGGTGTCTCCTCATCCTGGATGGGTTTCATTCGACAAACACAGAAACCGCGCAAAAAGCAGTAACGGTCAACTTGACCATCAGAACCATCCGAAACCCACCCGAAAGCGCAGCAGCTCTGCTTCCTGGCACACAGAAATGGATCCTAAAGGGTCCTTGGGTGAACCGTCCCTTTGGCGAGGCTCTCACCAGTGAGGCGGTGAGAAGGACTCAACCAGGTCAGAAGGATCCCCATTGAAGGGATCGATGCTTGATTCATGGATGGAGAGATCTTCAGGAGTACAAACATCTAGTGGAGAGATCTAGTGGAGATCCAGGGATCTTCAGGAGAGATCTAGTGGATCCTAGTAGATCTATGAGAGATGAATGGAAGAGATCTTCAGTATATATAGGAGTTGCAAACATGATGAGGATCTACGATCCTAGTAGATCCTTGACCTGGGGAATGATTCGCTGACCTCCGAGGAGGTCATGTTGGTGATGGCAAATGTCCTTAGAAAAATATGCCAAGACCCACAAGGGGTGGTTGATGGACACCTCTTAACCTCCAAGGGGCCATTAGTAGAGACCCCTCAGAGGGCCCTGGTACATTCTTAAGAATCGTCTAACTTATTGATTTTCGATCTGTCCCATATAGATATGCTTGAATATGAGGACCATAGTGGCAACCGCTGGTCTTGAAATCCAGGCAACCAGGCCTTTCTGAAGAATGCTTTCCCAGTGCACTTACTTTTCATCGAGATCCTAGATCCCCACATCTCTTCCAGTTGTACTTGTCCATCACCCATTGCGGTAGAAAATAGTCACCACCAGGCGCTCCACCAGCCTAATGGAACCCCACCTTTCCGGTCAATGCGACGGGACATGATGGGACCAACAGAGATTGTCCCATCATGCAGCACCCCCACCAGCGGATGAGATCATGTCCTGCCAGTTCCTTGGGTCCTTTTCTAGGTTTGTATTTCCCACAAGGCCGGGGGGAAGCCCAGGTTTGCAAAGAATCACATGTAGGCCAAGCTTCCCAAAGGGTATCAATTAATTAATTACTTCAGTGCCTGACCCCAAAATCATTGGACTCCGACGAGATCCAAAAGAACCAACAACCTCTCTCTGGTTGAGCATGGTGAGTCGGACTCCACTCAACCCAATCCAACCAAACCCTGGTGCAACAAAAATCAGGTGCAGAATTCCTTCCTTCGAACTGGATCTTCTGCCCCACCAGTTCGTTCATTTCGTGGCGCCACCACCCTGCTGCCCCACCCCGCGCCCGCGCACCTCGCCATCCCAACTCTGCACGGCAGGGGAAGAAGCAGGTCGGCTCGCCTGGAGGGACCAACCCGGCCGGGCCAACTGCCGCCGCCCAACTGCACCCGCAAAAGGCCCGGGTGATGGCAATGGTCGGATGGATGGGGTTTGCTGAAGGGGATTCACCGAACCAGATCTCAGATCGCAAGTAAACTGGGAGGGTGACTCTGCTGCTTTTCATCATTCTTTTGGACATCTGCTGCTCAGCCAGTTCATGTTCTGACGTCACCTCAAAAACCAGATTCGCGCGGCTGCTGGCGGCCACAGAAAGAACAACGACACCGCATGTCACATGTCCTTGTTGAGATATCATTTGGGTGTTGGTCAAACAATATTCGACGATTCCACTGGTTTGGGAGGCTAGAGGTTTCAGCAATAGGGGTTGGAACTTCCGAAATGCATTCTTTTCAATGTCTTTGGTATATATAGCCAAACAGGAGGCAAACTGGATGGCCTGAGGCTCCTGAAGGACTGGATATGCCTTGATTTGTTACATTGAAATTCTTCGAATTTGCCTATTTGCTTCGACACCTATACATTGATTCGTTGGGCGCCACCAGACTTCTTCTGCTCCTTTGCTATACGAGACAGTCCTTGGGAATCATTTGGCTGTGGGTCATGGCACCCTGGTCACCCTAGGTACTTTTGACCTCCCTAGCCGTCTATTCTCGTCTACTCTGCTTCGGTGGTCAACCAGGATCCTCCAGTTTTGATCCAAACCCGATGGACGCTTTTCTATTGTTCTCTGAGCGTCCAACCCCGGTCACCATGGGGGACCGGGCAATTGAACGATTAGCACCAACCCCAAACAATCTCTCAGCCGAATGGTTCTTTTGGGGGGAGCCAGTCCTTGAATTTCACGCGCTTTCTCGCTCTCTTTGGGGTCTCTCTGCTTTTTTCTCGCTCACTCTTCGAGGAAAGAGCCCGGTGAGACACCCAAGTTCGACCTGTTTTCTCACTGTGACTCAGCACTGTTGACTCGGAACCTTCACCTCCGAACCTTCACCTTCACCGTACGGTGTGTATTCACCTCACCGTGCCGTTGTCCCGTCCGAAGCCGCGTCGAACGACTTCCTTCCCGCGATCGAAGCCGGTGCGCCGTCCAGGTGCTAGCTCGCTTCACCTAGACGGCTCGGGCGGCGTCAGCAGAAACCCCGAGACCGCTTGGGAAGCCCGGGGGCGGTCTGAAAGCCGATCCAAAGGATTCATGCGGGGGCCTTGGGATTCCGGATCTGAGAGACAGGTTGAACAGAATTGAACCACATAACGAGTCTTACCTGTCAGAAACCACAGAGGCTACAAAGACTGCAAGTCTCGGTGCATCCCAGGTGCGTTTTTGGAGCACAATCAAGAGAATCAAGAGAAGAGTAACAGGAAAATAATGTTGGACATGCTTCTTTCAAAATCACATTTGCAGAAGAATTCACTGGACACCAAATGTCCCTAGCAAAACCTGAGACTATAAACGAACTCAACGGATCTTGGGGATGATAAGCTGAAGCTGTGTCCTTTGATGCATTGCTTGCTTCTCTCGGTGGCCTCCAATTACAAGAGGAATGGTTTTCAAACACATGGCAAACAGGACTTCTCTGTTCCATCAGCTCAATCCTATTTGAGGGTCAGTGGCACACAAGACCAAGCGATCATAGCTCCAAACTCGGGCGCCAAGCCAGTGACCAGCCCGGTCACGTCGCATCCTTCGACTATGTACGGTCTGTTTAGTCGATCTTCGAAGCAAAAACCCAGCAGCGAACCCTGGAGCTCTGCTCTTCTTGCCGGCGCACAGCCCAGCGCGGGCCCCGCCTCCTTCTTGCTTGCTGTACTTCGTGGCCTTTCCGCGGCGTATTGCACCAGGCTGAGCGCCAGCAGTGCATCCAAGCCATTCGGAGACGAGTCTGCCCAGAGCATCGCGTCCGAACGTGGAGAAGCAGAACGAGCACCGGAAGAGGAGCACACCGCAGAGCAACACGACAACATGAAACCTCATGGAACCAGGGCTGGGTGGATTCAGACCATCTTTAGGTGACCCGAAAAGGAACTAGCTTTGCTTCAGAGAGCAAAGTATGGTCTTTGGACTTGTAGGGCAGGGTGTTTGCTCAGCACCCTGTTGTCTGTTGTGCTCAGCTGATTGAGATCTGAGAAGTCTTTCGGTGAAGGCCTTTTAACTGAAACCAAAGATTGCCACCCTTTTTGGAAAGGATCCCAAACCCCCCCAGGGGGTTGGTATCCTTGCCCCCCCAACCCAAACCCGGCTGCCCTGCAGTTCTTCCACCCTGTGGGTTGGCACGGCCTTCCGGAAGCACCTGCAACAGTTGCCGCAAAGGCTCTCCAAAGCCATGCCTTGCACCGATCGACCGTAGGCTGCTCGTTTCTGCATTCCAGGAAGGACAGGTGGCCTACTCAGATTTGAAGAGGAGTCGTTTGCTTGTGACACCAGGCCGCCTTCTTGGGCAAATGGCCTCCGATCCCCCTGCTTCATCTCCCAAATTCAACATTGACAACAACCCAGGTTCTGACCCACACAAAAACATCTCAGGATGTCTTCCACCGATCGATGCTCCGATCGATGCGGCGAACATCGCCCTGCTCCGAGCCACAGTTCGCCCGTCTTCGCCAGCTGCCGCCGGAAACGCAGCTGGCCCTCCTGGCGATGCGGAGGCGGTGCGACTTCGCACCGAGGAGGCCGAAAGAATTTGGCTCGAAAGGAGCACCTGTGGGGCTGTGGGGCACAAGAACTTCTACTCCCAAAAAGCTTCCGTACCTCTCGTCCCTCCCTCCTCCACCGAACCACTCCAGGCGCCTGCGCCATTCCACTGCTATCCACAAAGTCCCAAAGACTCGGTAGTGGTCCATCCACCTCGTCTCTCGACGAAGCTCGGATGATGCTCGACGAATCCACGCGACGAAGCGAAACGAGGAGATGGGACTCATGGTCAAGTAACTCCAACCCAAAACGCCTAGAGGCCTATAGAGGGAAAGGGAAGGGTTGCCACTACCTCAAAACCAAGATGTTCATAGGTGTTCATGTCTTATACCAGTAACAGTCTCAACGAAAAATATTAAAACGGATGTTGTTGAAAAAAGTAGCTCCTGGGTCTGACATGGATGTAATTCCGACGAAAAAAAGAAGTGGTTACAAACCGCCTGTGACCCTGGGCGGACTCTGCTGTGTGCCGCTCTGCTCGTCCCCCGCCGCCGGAGTGTCGCCTCGGCGGACTCGTCCGCGTCTTCGAGGATCTCAGCTAAGGCCTCAATCGATCGGGCAAGGCCATAAGAATCGACGGGAAGCCATGAGAAAGATATGAGATGGGTGAACCCCCTTTCTCATAGGGAGAACCCCCTATGAACTCCGCCCCCTCCTTTCTGGGTGTTTTTTTTGATCTACATGACGTTTCCCGAACCCATGGGGGTCTTTTTGGGAGGTCTCCCCATTGATTCTTTTTGAAGGTGTTCTTTCGCCAAAGCACCAAAAACGGAGTATTCTACATTTGAGAACCCTATCGAGGACCAGCAGGACATTTCCGGGTGATCACAGCCCTACCTAGAACCTAAGTGACCCCTCTTTTGAAGCAAAACATGGATCATGACTGGGGTCTTTGAATGGAGATAGAGAGAGAGAGAAGGAGAGAGAGAGGGAGAGGTCCATCCACGGATCGCTCGGAGCTTCGGTCGACGAGTCAGCAGTCAACACACAGTCCACTGTAGCCGTTGGACGACTTCGGCCCTAACTATCAAATGCCCAAGACCAGACCTTCAGCCGGGCCTCCTTGAGTTTTCACCCCCTGCTACTCAACCGTGCTATCTTTCTCCACCGTGTTATCTGTCTAGATCCGTGCTCCCTCCAGTTTCAAAGTTAGTATCCTGGAACCCCAAACAACTAGAAACAAATGGTTGTTCCAATATGGCAATTGAAATCCTTTACATAGGAAATGGTTGGGACTGGGGAAACATCCATTTCTTTCTGCTTGTGACTGGGGTTCCAGGTAGTAGACCATAGGGACGACCCATCCTGTGAGGCCTCTGCTTCAACGACCGCTTCCGTCGTTTGCAGGGTCCGCCCACCGCAACGGAACCCACAACCCACCGGTGCACCCGTCGAACGGACCGTGTCGCCGCAACGCACCGCGGCGGTGCGTGGCGCGAGCGAAAGGGTGCTGGGTCCGCCCCGCTGTCTCATCCAAGACGGCCAGGGACTTGCTGATGAGTGGAGCATCCAAGGTCCCATGGAGCCTCACACTGGTCACTGGTCACTGGTGGACACCAAGCTTGGGGTGCGTCTTGGGTGCGTTTTCGTGGAAACTCAAACCAGATTCAGGAGGTGCATCCGAGTGGATCGAGGATGACCAGTTTGCTGGGATCGTGGATGAACACATGAGTGCGACATGATGATTCCCCGTGAGTTCTCTCCGAGAGTGCCACCGATCAAGGGCAATAATATGATGATCAACAATTGAGTGCTAACAGGTTCGACCTTCATCCAGGAACAAATGCTCTGAAAATACTTGAACATGACCCATGACTCAGGACTCTTGAAACGCTCACACTGGGGCACCCCAGAACGGCCAGCCAACCATTCAACCCTGCATTTTGCACTCCGGCACGTTTAGAATCGCTGAGCCTCGCTCCTTCAATAAGCTTTGAGTAGTCTCCTGGCCAACCAAGTGCCCGTCAAAATCATGGGCGCTCCTGGGTCTCGCCTTACTCTGTCGGCGAGCACCGATCGAGAAGGCCAAGCGCAGCGCAGACAATAGGCAATCCCAAGCGCTAAGACCATCTGTGAGTAGAATACAAAGGAGCATCAGCACTAAAGACAGCTTCATTGACCTTCCCTTCAGCTTCTCGAGCTCCTGTGACCACTGGTTCATCAAGGCGTCCACCTGTTTCAGCAAGCCTTTGACCTCACGCCGCTGTGCAGCACATGCCCTCTCAATCTCTTTAAGCTGGTGCAAACCGTTCTCTACCATTCTCAAGGTCTGCTGGACATGGTGGATTCTGTTTGCGCGAGCAGCTGCACGAAATATGTGCATGCACCACTGAATAGATTCAATCCCATGAACAGAGTGGGGTTGATGATGCTTGTTGGAAGAGACCACAGAAAGAACCTAAGAGTGAGTGCATTATCTTCAGGTTGTTGGCGCCGTCGATCTTCAACAGCAGCGTCGAGCTCTCGGCGGGTCTTGATAAGTTCACCCCGCAAATCTCGACAGTGTTTGGTTGCATCATTCTTAAGGCTATCCAGCGCTATGAGGATCTGTTCAAGTGCAAACTTTGTCGTTGGACAGAACCAGATCCACTTTAGAACCTCTTCCTCAGAGTGAACTCCATGCTCCAGCGCCATCTTCATTCTACTAATCCCGAGTTTGACTAATTGAATATCCGAGCTGATCACCTCCAACCTCTGGTTGAAGGCTTCTGTCATATCTGCAACATGGCATTGAAGTTGCTCACGACGTGTGCTGGCAATCTGGGCAAGCTGGATACACTTTTGGGTCTCTTTTGCCAGTACATCCACATGGAAAACAATCGCAGTCGTGCAACCTGTAATAGCAGCTCCCACAACAAAAGACGCACCCAGGCCAGAGATGGCCGCACACAACTGAAACTTGACAGGGCCCAGAATTGACAATGCATCTCCCCTCACACTAAATGTCTCCTGGAAAGGTTTCCCACACTGTCACTGCACATGGTGCGCGTTTGTTTTCGTTTGTGTTGCCAAGCTACGCCGAGATTGCCAGATGCTGCCTTTGGCCGGTCAAACGCCTCAGGACCAGGATCACCACATTCATCCAGATACCGCAAACGCTGATCAGCTTGCAGTTTCAGGAATTGGAAGGTCTTTTGAAGTGTAGTATGCATGTGTGTCCGGTGCGCACCTTGGCTCCGCTCACCTCCTCTTGTTGCAGCTCATTCTGGTGGATTGCAGCAGATGCTTGCTTTGGCCTAGTTCTTGCTGGGATCGATGCCCAGCTGCCCACTTGTATTCCTCCAATCCCCTCTGCCATGCCAATCTGATGGTCAAACCCTGAACACATCTCGCGGTGCATACTCTCAAAGCAGTAGGCGCCCAAGCCTCCGCCGAGCTCTCCGCCAATCGCACCCGCACACTGGGCGTCAGAAGCTCTGTGACAGTATTCTTTGAGCCGCTTGGGGTCCATGCCCAAGTCTTCAAATCCTCGTTGTTGTTGAATCGCAAAACCACTATGGAGTGTGGCCTTACCTTCGTATTCTTGGGTGGTGAACTTGAACGCCTGTCCTTTCAACGGACCGCAGAGAATAGGCCAAAGTACTCCGACTGCCCCGGCTTCGTTCTCACCAGGCTGCTTTTGTCGCTGTAGCACCTGAAGAAGCTGTGGAGGATGTCTGCAACCTGCCGTGGGTCGCTCATGTTGACTCCATCAAAATGCTGCTTTGCCTTGTCGTCTTTCATCATGTTGTCCAGGGGGCTGTCCTTGGTATAACCCTTTGGTGCAGTGGGCTGCAGCATCATGTCTAGGAACTCCTTCAATGCATCCTTCTCGTGAACTTCCTCGCGTAAGATCTTGTAAGTTTTTTGAAAACTCTCAGCACTTGATCGTCAGATTCAACCATGAGCTATGCGCCAACTTCAGCCGCGTCAGCAGCTGCAGTGCCACAGCACACAATGTATAAGGCTGAGCCAAAACAGTCAGGGCATCTTTCATGACTTCATGAGGACGTACCAACGCACCGAACAATGCCTCGGGAACATATCGCTTGGTGTCGATTCTAGACGCACTCAATGCCATCCTATGCATATGTCAAGGGATCCATGGAATCCTGCACTCCAGCACCATGGCATCATGGGCCTTCATTGGACAATCTGGGCACATCCAGTGTGGCCAAGTGGCGGCCCAAGATGCACAAATGACAGACACAACAAATGGTGCGTGATCCAGACTCCTTCGTACATATATAAGGCTTTCAATGAACCTAGGCCTTATGTCGACCTTTTGATCGACTACCAAGCCCCTCCGGCGATCGGAAGCTCGGACGAGTCTCGTGAGGAGGGCTGCCGCGCGTGCGGAGGCACGCGCATGCTCAGAGCGTTCCACATGGCAGGCGCAGCACTTTGTACACAATGCTGGGTGATCATGCTCCACTGTTGAGGTTTGTTTGACACGATCATATGTGATCGCGCTGCGCCATCGGGATTTGCGTGGCCTGGGATAGTGAAGAGTGCAGATGGCGTGGTGCAGAGCCTTGCAAATGCAGCACTTGGAATAAATTCTGGTAGCGCAGTTTTCGTGACAACGTGGCACCGTTGGCATGGCAGGTGGGACGTGTGGCTTTGTTTCCTGGCATTTGACTGGCCGCTGGCACGCCTTGTCCTCATTGCAAACAGTAAGCACATTAGGGCAGTGGTGGAGACAAGCTGTATACAACCTGCTGATGTGCCCACGTTGTCCAAAGGAGTGTCTTTTTCGCTTGCACCGCACAACGTCCGCGGCGTGGTGGCTTTTGCGACACGGTGTTTGCCAAAAACCCGAGGTGTTGTTTGCACAGGGGGGGTTGCTCGCTCAGGGCATAGATCAAACAGTGAACACAAGACTTTGAGGTACAAAAGTTACAAAAGTGCTAGCATTCTCTTGTTCCTTGTTACTTCAAAGACCCTTGTTCCTTGTTTCTTGTTCAGAAGCATTCAACTTCTCGAAGACCTCTTGTTACTCTTGTTCATGGCACCCCCCCCCGGCCGCACCAAGAAGACAGAGCCGCGCCTGAGCAGCGCCGAGAGCCGCCGCCGGAGGAGAGCGATCTGCCCCAAGCCGCACAGCATCGTGGCCAGCTTCACCACCTGACGGAGCCACAAAGGACTCGAACGGTTCAAATCCCGAAGTCCTAAGGCGTGGGTTCATATGGGCATGAATGGGCATGTGTATTTAAGACGGGGAACCCCCTGGCTGAATGGGATTTACATAGATCTGTTTTGTGTCGTTCCCTTCTTCGTGCTTCTTAGGAAGCCTCCCCTTTTTCTTCCCATACGCAACGCATTGTTGTGGACTGGTCAAAAACATGTCTTGCGGATTGGAGCTGAAGGGTCTTGTGTTGTGGATTGGAGCTCAAAACCTGATGTCCGAGATGCGCCCAAAGTAACGAGCCACCTGCATCACTGCACAGCGCAAGTTTTTCAGACCCATCAACCATGATGAACCAACGACCCCTCCGACAGGTCACCACTTAGCCCCCACTATGGCCCCAATCACCCTCAACCCACGACCTTTCTTGGAAGGGTGCCCCTTCTTTCGCCCCAAGATCCTTCCCCCACTTCCCAACTCCTTAGCCACTCCCGAGCCTTAGCCCCCATCACGTCTTCCTACGTCGGCCCTATCACCTTCGCTTCGACTCCCCAAAACCCACTCCGCTCCATCCGGCCCATCCGGCCAGCGGCGCCACCGCCGCCGAGGCCGGGCGCAGCGCCTGCAGCGAACCAGCGAACCGGGAGGGGCGGGAGGGGCGGAAAAACCGTTGACCCTCGACATCCTTCCTGGGTTCGCAATAAAAAAAACGCTGGGGTTTCTAGGCGGTCAAACCTGGCGGTCAAACCTGGTGGTCAGCAACAAATCACTGATCACGTTGCGTGTTGCTCGTCCGACCCAGCTCAGCCCCAGAGCGGTGCACATCCTGACGGAAACCGATCCCGAAAAGTGAAGAACCGGGTCGAAAAGACCCAAGTCACGCGGTCACGCGGTATGACCAAATCCCAATTAGCACGGTTTGATCAAATGGACCCACCAAATCTAGCAAACCAGAAGCAGGTTTGCATGTGTTTATATGTTTGTTGCCCCTATATACATGCCTTCTATGTTGAACATGTCCGTGGCTTCCTCTGGAGCTTCGTCTTTCCGCTCCCCTTCCGCTGTGATCTTCCTCTGAAAGAGCCCCGGCCTCGTAGCTGCGGCTGCGCGCCGCCTGTCGCAACCGGTCAGGCCCAACGTGCATGCGTTCGGCGAGGAAGTCTGCGACCCAAAACCCCTGAGTGCACCCCTTTTTCTCCTCGGTCAGTGAACGGGGGGGGTCTTGGATCCAACTGCACCCCTTTGTGAGTAGCTTGTGGGTTAAGGCGTTTTGCATAGCTTTTGTCCGAGGGATGGGAGAGCACCACTTGGCTCGAGGCCGAATGGGTTGAACATCTCCGAGCCTCGGCCGAGCCTCAACCCTTCTCGAGACGTGTGAGACCGTGGATTCGTTGAAGTGTGACGCGTTCTAACGCGTCGGTGGCGTTCGGTGTCCTGCGACCCGATGATGGCTTCCACATCGATGTCTTTGTATTTTTGCACTGGATGATGGTTGAAGCCGTGCTTTTGGCTGGTATGTTAAGTGGATCAGCGAACTGTCAGCCCTGTTCAGTATTCGAGTGCTTGGCGTTGCTTTCCTCTTCTTGATGTCAGTTCTTCAACCAGCGTGTTGGACATGTTGATTCTGGCTCTTCATGAACTGAAAAAGGTCCTGGCCAGTGTAGTTTTCAGATTCTTAAGTTGCTATCTTCTTGACCTCTGCTTCCTGCGTCATGATGCGCTTCGCGCTTCATGCCGATCATCTCCAATCATGCCAGCCAAGAAGAACTCAAATGAATGCCCTTGGCACCCCACTGCATGGTCCATCAAATCCCACACCAACCGCCCGTCGGCCTTCAGACGTTTTCGGCCCCGAACAGCCGGGGGAGTAGGATCAATGCCGAGGCGAGCGTCACCAAGACGAGCGAGAAGCACGGTAAACAAACAGCCCAAACGGGCGTGGGCCGCGCAAGCCATATACGAGAAGAAGGAGACCCACCAGCAACGGGGAGTCCCTTGAGGGTCAGGAGTCCGTTGAGGGTCTCAAGCCACCCCAATGAAAAGTCCAGAATCGGTACACAAAAACCGAACACCCTATCGATACCATGCACCCGGTTCCCCGATGTTCACGGCGCGGACCCGGCGGACCCAGTTCAAGGGGGGGGGGCCCAAAGAGAGGATTTCCACTGGACGGCTTGGCCCACCATTACTGAACAACCGTTGTTTTGCTATAAGGATTTTGGACTACAGCACCAGGTCAACCATTTGTTGGTCGAACGGAAAAGCTTGCTTATAGGGTTGTTCAATTGTCCAAAAAGAACATCTCCCCTCACTCTCCTCTCTGTTCTGGGTTTTGGTTTGGGGGGGAGCGGTTGTTCCTTTGAACACGAAGTCCTTGCTGTTGATGTTTCCCTGGAACCCCAAACAACCAGAAGCCATTGGATGTTCCTATATGGCAATTGAGATCCTTTACATGGCAAGAGGTTGTTTGTGGAAAACATCCATTACAGTAATTTCTGGTTGTGTGCGGTTCCAGGTCGTCTGGCTGATTGGACCCAACTCATGCCAGAAAGCCAAACGTTCAACCAAACAGCCAACACAGCTGCCTTCGTCTCAGGGCTTCTTCGCCATACCACCCAATGCATCCCCACCCCGGCATTAGAAGTGCAGGAAAAGATCTTTCTGCCCCCAACTCATCCCAAAACACCAACTATCTGAAACAATCTCCCGGGGACCACGAAGCACGGATCAGTTCTAGTAGCTTCTTGCTACTGGTAGTGATGGCCTCCAACCTACTTGCGATGGCCTCCACCCTAGTAGCTTCTTGCTACTAGTAGTAATGGTGTTTGGGAAAGGATCAGCTGCTCCGACCGGATCAGCTGCTCCGCAGTGCCCAACTGGCCGCCTTCAACACCAGCTGCGCGTGGTCGTCGGCCAGCAGGGTCCGACAACCCTCCAGCGCCTGGAGGTGTTGCTAAGGATTTTGGGACTACACCAAGTGAACCGTTCCTCTTTAAGCCTTTTGACTCTTTGCATTGTCAGGACCACGGAGTGTTGGGCAGGACGAAGCAGGTCGTCTTTAGGGCATGTCGTTCTCCTGGTCTTGTGAGGTATGAGAAAACTTTCGAAAACCAGGTGTTCTTTGAATGAACACCCCTTTTTGTTGGAAAAGACCCAACACTCGAGGCACTTGGTTATGGGTCGGACTCTGGTCAATTCTGCATGTGAAATTTCTAGCATAAGGGATCAGCTTTTCGGCTAGGTGTATCAACCAATGACCGGCAGTTAGGGCTTGGTGAGCACTTGGCAACTCAATCATCTGAATCAAAGCACGCTGAAGGTTGAACACTTGTTACAGGGCACTCCAGATGTTTGCGGTCCAATGTTTGGTCGTTCAGTCGGTTTTGTGCGGCCAAACCAGTCTTGACTAACTAACCTGCTTTACTTGGAACAAAAACACGCAGGTTTGCTCTCTCAATCTCAAGATTCTAGATTGAACATTGAACACCCCAGCAATTTTATCTGCTTCCTTTTCTTCGAACCCACACATTCACTCCACAAGACCCTGGAATCTTCCAGGTCCAGAGCCAGAGCTCTGAAACCATGCTTCGGAAACGACCTGCTTCTGAAGCTATGCTTCGGAAACTGCCTATGTGTTTGGAGACCTTCAGGAAACCAACACCCGCCCAACATCAGATGCTCGAGCACGTGGGAACTTGCTGTCTGGTGCGCCTTGCGCACGCGCATGGCCGCTCGGAAGGCAAGCCTGCGCTGGCACATGGGGCACCCGATCCGACCGAGACACTGTCCGGCAGGGGCTTTCGCGGTGCAGGCTGCCGCTGACGTGAACTGGTAACTGGAGCTTTGTTCAACCTGAACTTGCTTAATTTGGAGCCCCCTTGGACGTGAAGAGAGGCTCTCAACCCACTGGGAGGGTCCCACTATAACAAGTGATATGCATGATATTGCATGATATACACACTCTGTATACTCCCTAACCTTTACAAGAAAGGGGACGACCTGTTGTTTGTAGTGTAAAAAACCTCAGTAAAACAATGGTTGTTTGGGATTCAAACCATGAAATGAAATCAATGGTTGGCCAGGAAGCCAAGGGTACTGATATATAATATATCAATATACTGATAAATATAGTGATATACTGGACACCCCAAAAGAAAACACCACACCGACCTACTGTACAGGTAATGTGGTCTTTGTTGAAAGCGGTGACCGCCACGCAGCCAGCTCTTCAGGCCGCACTCCGGTGCGTCCTCCCTCCGGCTGTGTTGGAAAAAAGCGCTGAGGATCACCAGTTCGCCCCCTGGTTGTATTGGTTGCCTGGCTGAATTCCTTTTCGTCCATCCCTTCTTCCATGGGGGGCTCTGCTGAACCCAGGTCGATTCCGTTTGAGGCGTCGCTGGCGCAGCGACCGGACCGGACCGGGCGTCCCGGCAACTGGGACATCGCAGCCACGCCCGGAGCTCCCACGGCTTCCTCGGCACGGCCGAGCAGAAGCGTCACACCTGCTGCGCTCGCGCCGGTGTGATGCTACCTACCGGTGTGACCCTACCAGTCCAGTCGCAGGGTGCTTTCACCTGGTCCGAAAGGGCCGAAGGTAAGTACTGTCTTATGTGTAGGTACGAGAGTCCAGCTCGGGGGGTCTGATCGGACCTGACCAGTTGGGACGAGTACGCTCCAAGCACGCGCGCTCCTGGTCCGAGGACTCCGTGGTCCGTGGTACGAGTGAAGGTGACCGATCCGGAGGATCCAAAGGTGGGGGACACGTGGAAGAACCGGTCGTGTATCACCCGTGTGCTGCAGACGAATCGCCCGAATCGCGGATCCAGACGGTCACTGTGGGCTCATGGCACCCGGCCACCCGGAACAGAATATCCTTGTTGAGGGAGGTCAAACCTCCCCTGGGTTTGGTTGGGGGAGGTGCCATGACGAAACCAGCCACATCATGATGATTATCAGCGCTCTGCTTCGTCCCAGCTCTGATCAGCTCTGATCATGTCCCATCCAGGTCGCGCCCCCACCAAAACCCCAAAACCGGGCTTAAAGCGCTCCCTCTCCTTCCGATGAAGGTTGGATACCTGCAGGAAGAAAAAACACCAAAAAGCCATCGCCCAGGCGGCCCAGTGTGGCAGATCAACCAGGCGTCGATGTTCCGCGCATGCGGTGGGAACAAGCATGGCCCTAGTGACCAACCTCCCATGAACAGGGATCTCAAGAGATCTCAGGAACACCCCCGGACCCATCCAGGTCTTCCACCCAGTCCCCCCCCCACATGAAAGGCCGATGCGAGTGGGCGATACTCCACCGGGCCGGTGCCCTTCTCCACACCGAGGAGCCATCAAACGATGCAAGACCAGGCTGTCCAAGTTGGAGGACCAATCCTTGCAAGAAGGAGTGAATAGAGTCGTTGTCTTGAAGATGGTTGATAAGAAATATTGCTTTAAACTAAGAAACTTGATTTCCGTGCTGATCAAAAAAACACCGTCTGGCAGGGCTAGACCACCCATCAAATGTGCAAAATGGACACCCCACAATAACCAAAATCAAAATAAATCAAAGCTCCATTGCTCTCACCGGTCAAGTTTGATCCCCTTCAGCTTCAACAAAGCGAAGCCATCGGCCACCCTGGGCGCCTGTCGAAATCCGCCCGAGCACTTGCTCGGCTCGGTGGCGTCCAGGAGCTTCGTCACGCCGCGCGACAGGAAGGAGCCGCCCAAGGCGTCCGGAAACCTGGCGGCGTCCCGAAACGACGTCGGAGGGGTCGATGGGTGGACCGAGAAACGACGTGCGACGTGCGTGTGGTTCGGCGCCGCGTTCAGGCAGCGCGGCACAGCCAGGGCTGGAAGAAAGAGCTCTTGGCTGAAAGTAACGAAGCATCTACAAAGCGGATGTCAATGATTCTGGGTGTACCAAGTGCACCGGCATGAAGAACACCGGTGTTCAACATTGTAGCATGTATATGGAACCCAATTGACCTCTGTTTTTTATAGGAAAAGACATGAAAAGACAACCCCCTTGGAATTCAGGCGCCCTCTTGGACTGTCTGATTCTTTAGGAGGCCACCTGCCACCTGCCACCTGCCACCTTAAAGAATCCTCAATCCACAGTGCCCATACCAACATGTCAGCTTAAAGAATCAGGACTCTGCCAACACATACTGGGCACTGGCCTTAAAAAATCAAAACACGTTGAGCACAGTGCGCACACACCTGTGGCACCCGGACTCCCCCTAAAGAATCAGAACACCTGGTACCAGTCCATGATGACAATGGCAAAAAGTGCACCTCTATTCGAAGTACCTTCCAGCATTTCAGCAATGTCAAGGAGCCAACAACAGCTGCAGCAGCGTCAACCACCATCGAGGGCACCTTATCCTAGCACCTTATAGAGAGGTAGCAAGCAAGGTTCGGAAGCATGCTAGCCCCTTGGACCATGGTGAGCAAGCAAAGTTTGGAGCACGTACGTGTTCAGCATGGCCAGTCCAAAGGTTCATGGCTTGCACTTCAGTGGGCTCCATCCTCTCTGTGGGCTCCTCTCCGTCCCGCTCCTCGTGTTCGCCGTTCTTCGCACCTGATGGGCTGCGTGGGGTCGTGGTCCGGGGACGCCTTGGCACCTTTGCGGCGGCCCAGGAGTTGCTGCTGCTCCATGTGGAGCAGAAAACGGACCACCTGACGGAGGGTCCGGCGATCCGCGTTGCGGGGCGAATGGTCAAAAGAGACAGGTCGGTCACATGCCCTCTGGTGGTGAGACCAGTGAGACCGACTTCAATCCTCTTCACCTCTATTAATACAGGCTTGGTCATTGGGAACTCCTTTTGTTGATCTTCCTTTGGGAGGTGGATCATTGAAAAAAGAAGCAGCTCAGCTGTGACTCTTCAGCGCCCAAACAGCTCACATTCTGAGTGGAGGACCCGACTGAATTGGCTCCGCCAAAGTTCTTGTGCACTGACCCCGAGATAGTCTTGGACGTGCCTCACGATCGCCGCCAAACAGCACGCGGGACGCGGGAGACGCCGGCAATCGCGGGAGACGCCCTATACCTATACGCCTTACCCTCCCTGAAACAATCATGGAAGTGGAATATAGCCTGTTCGTAGAGGAAAACGCTCTTCCAAGGGACCATATTCCACTTCCATGTTTGTTGGATGGAGGGTAACTTGGACACTTCATCCGCGGAATTGATGCTGAAGGCTGTTGTGCCAAAGGTTTCTCGAAGGCCGTTGGAGCCCAGTGGCTGAGCCCAGTGGGGATGGAGCAGCCGGTGGGAGCGTCTCGTTACGGACCATCTATGTAGAAAGATAGCGGATTTGTGGAGCAGCCGTCTCAATCCAACTGAAAAACCGTTCTTCATAGTTACTTCCCCCTGTTGAACTTGATGGCTCTCCCTGGCGTACTTGGGCCACCAGCTTCAACATCTGCAAGCTCCCGCGGTTCAGAGGGAGCTCGGTCGTGCGAGAGTCTCCATGAAGCAAGTTGAACACCAAGCCCACACCTCCCACCACAGGGTCTGAAACCACCTGATCCGGCACCACCAGCTCCCCAAAAAGGTCACTCCGAGTTCCAGCTTCCCGTGGCTCTTTTCAAGGAAATTCCACTGGATCAACCTCCTTCGTCCCCGTCCCTCGCTCGCTCCGGGCTCACAGCCACCGCCGAGCGACTCGAAGGAGCTCCGAAGCCGAAGACTTTGCTCAGCCAAGTCCTTCAACGAGGCCTGCCGCGGTTCCCCCCGCGCGGGCGGGTTCCGCCCCGCGCGGTGAACGCGTGAACGCGAGAGCCCGGAACGCTTCGCCCCCCCTGTCGACCGGTCCCAGGACAGCTAGCACGTCCGGGGTCTCTTCATCTGCAGCGCAAGAACCTACGGACCAACAAACTCCAGACTGCATGAGATTGTCCAAGCCGGATCCTCCCAAGACTTCTACAGTGGTTTCAGACTAGATGGGCACCTAAAGATGTCTTAGACAGAGGGGGGGTCCACTACCAAAGCACCGACCTTTGGGGTCAACTTGTGCCATCGAACCTCTGAAACCACTGTACCCCTCGACCCCTCCGAATGACCCGTCCGAACGGACACCCTGCCACCCTCAGCCTGGACATACCCCACGTCTCCGGTTTTTCCATGAGCATGCGTCATAGAGACCGGGTCCAGAAACGGCAATAGATGTATTATGTATTGCCTGTAGAACTTTTATGTATTATGTATTGGGGTCCTTTTCGTATGAAATCGACAAGATCAGTGGATCATATAGTTATATAACTTTAAGTTTGCTGAACACTCGAACACCCTGTTCTTGCACTCAACGTGAGGCCCGTTGGCCTCCAGGGGCTCGAAACTGGTCTTGGCCAACATCGTTTCGATCTGCTGTGCCAGCTCACGTCTGAGCCCATCCCCTAGAACTTCCTGCCGGCCGCTGTTCACCCCAGAACGATGACATGCTTCGGAAAGCGGGGCATAGGGGGGGTGGTCACACAGTGACAAAGGTGTCCGAGGGTTTTGGCATTCTTGAGATTTTTTGAGCTATATAAATTCCAAACTTCTGATCATGGGATTATACCGAGAAAAGTGGGTCATACATGGTCATACAAATGGTGTTCCGTTCATGTCAACGGATCATTTCTGGGTCACCTGAAGTCCTCCCGCCAGACCCTGCGAGCGACCCTGGCCACCTTGAAACGTCCTCTGCAGGACCGCAGGTTTGCCTGGACCCCACTTGAAGAGACTTCTCCAACCCTCCAGGCAACCTCTGTGACCATCAATCTGTTCAGTTGGTCCTTCAAAACACGATGAATACGCCCCTGCAGACCTACATGGAACCCCAAAACCACTGGGTTGTAGATGGTCGAAATGGGTCGAAACCACGGGCCAGCTCTCCGGATCCATGATAGTTTGCGGCAGGGTAGCGGATCAAAGTTGACGTCCTCGTCCATGTGCCCATGTGTCGATGGTGAAACAAAATCCATGGTCAGTGTTGTCATTTGTCACGTAGAGCCTCACCTTTTCGGATGCTCCGTCCGTCCGCTGTTCCCTCACATATCCCAATGATTGAAACCCTGTTGCTTCTGGGACGCAACCACACATCGTTCATGTAGGGACGCAATCACTCCCCACATGCGTTCGTCTCACTCGTCATCTTTTCATCTTGACTCCGCCAGATCTGAAGAATTCGGGTCACACCACTTCGTCACTTCGTCAAAAAAGGCCTCCGAAATCATCCTACAAGCTCCAATCATCTATCCGAAACCTCGATAGATCTGACCATGTCCTCCTCCAGCCCTTGGAAGTTCACTGAGTCGCTCCTTCGGCTCGACCAGAATGGCACCCAAATAGGCCACGTCCGTCTCGCGGATGCCGCGCATGAGCAAAGCAATGCGACGTGTGAGCTGACCCACCTCCAGGTTGGCCCCCTCGCTCCTGGCGTCGTTTAGCTTCGCCTTTCTTTCGCACCACCACGGGTGCTTCTGAGATGACCCTACTGACCCTACTGCCCCCGCAGCCGGTGAAGGACCTGGTCTTGCTGGGGCAGACTGGATTTACGGAGTACCCTGGTCTTGCGGGGGGGTGTCGGGTCGTGAAACCCATTTTCCAAGGTACGAAGGAAGAAAGGAAGAAAAGGGTCCAAGTGGGATCAGGTGGATTGCCTTTTCGATCACCTCGGGTGACGAGATGCTTTTGTACGCCATGCGGCATGCATCGACCCCCGCGAACACGCGGCAAAGCCGTTGAGCGTGGATGGACGGTGGGTTTCTGGTGTCGGTTGGATGAAGGACGTGGATCGTGGATCGTGGGGCATCGTTCATGGAAAGCCATGAATTCCTGTATATAGATGTTGAACATAAGGCTCCAGCCGGGCCGGTGCGGCCCGGTATGGAGGCTTGGGGACCAAGCCTCATGGTGGGGAGGGTGAACGAAATCTGTGTGGGGAGATTGGTCACCACTCCCAGCCTTCAAAAAGACGAGAGTTCATGCAATCACTTGATTCATAAAACAAGTTGTTCAATCCATGTCTAGGGATTGTTATATTAATCAAGAGCCAAGCGTCTACGTTATTTACTGTGGTCCGCATTAGCAGCAAACTCTAGTGACGATACTCTCTGTGAGCTTCCCGGGTGAACGTGCTCTGCAAGCATCCCCAGTTGGAGGGTTCATCTCACTCGCAGATACCGCCTGCCAGTGTGGTCGCAATCTCTGCCCATCCCGCTGACAGACTTCAGCCCCTTCCAAGTACGTGTTCATGAGAAAGAAAGAAAGAAAGAAACTTGAACCCTCCGTACCAACACCGCCTACTCTTTGAAACAATCATGGCCCACGTGGAGAGTGAAAACCACCTGTTTGATCTGAACGGAGTTTCTCCATGATCCCTGGCGTTCTCCACGGCCAGGCCCGGTTTCAAGGAGTGTAATTGCGTCTCACACCCTCACTAGGCGACACTAGATCCACCGACTTACGTCCAGTGGATTCAGGTGCCACAACCACCCATTCCTTGGATCCGCCCCAACAAAAAAGCACCGAATTCGGACGGGCCCAGTTGGCTCCGCAGCTCCTCTGGGCGTAATTTTGCAGCTCCGCGAAGGCGACGCGGGAACTGGGCCAGTTGGGTGTGGAGGACTTGCTGAGCCGCGCCAGTTGCGCCAGGAGCTGGAAGATAAGCCGTGGGATGTCCTGCCAGACGCGGTGTGTAGGTCAGATGATCCGTTCCAGAAGAGCAGTATATCAAGGTGTCCAAATGACCCCCGGCTTCCAAATGTGGCTTTAACCAAGGTGAACCTTGCTGAACACCCGTCTTTATGACAACCCGAGTTGTGAAACTCTTGGAGAGACCATTCAGGGATGAAGGGACCTAGAAAATGCAATGCAGAACTTGGCTGGTGATGCTCCCTGGTCACGTTCAAGGTATTCTCCAAGGTCTTCCCAGTCGTCAGCGTTTTCTCAAGAGAAATATCAGTGCCATCACCCCTGAAAATGGACGGTGGGTACCGGGTAGTCCATGTGATTCCAAAGAGGTTCCGGTGTTCCGAAGAGGATTTCAAAGGATTCCTGTGGCAACCATGACAGGAATAGCGCAGCTGTGACGTGTTACGCGTTGCAGCAAAAAGAAGACCTGGTAGTGCTGGATGAAAGATGCCCCATCACATTTGGTTCAATCCCTAGAACCTGAATGATCTCTGACTCTATTTTGGATCACCCATCATGAATATCAAAATATGGTCAGTCTTTTTCAATCAAAACACAGGTCAAATGGGTTCCAGGTATATAACACATTGCAGGGCCTGCTCGGCGGCCGATAGGGCTACAATCGGCTACAAGTTGATTCTATTTCAACCCCCCAAGCCTCCAACAAGGCTTTTCAATCCATGTCTGTGGGGGTTATATCAATTCCTCCAGAGTCATCCTCCCGCAACAACCACCGCCCTTATCACCGACGCCAAACGGCTCCGCACCGCCGTAACCGGAAGCGAGCGGAGCGCCGAGCGAAGGGGGGGCGCTCCTGCAGGACGGAGCGCATGAAGCGCACCAGCCCCGCCGAGTAGTACTCGGAGACCAGCGCCGCATGCGACTCGTTGCCCGACTGCCTCGCGGGGGATTGGGTGCGGGTGGCACGGTGCAGGTGCGGGTGCGGCCTGGTGTGGGGGGGTTGGGCGGGGAGTCTATTTGCCCCAGATTCGGAGGCTTCTATGACTGGTCTTCAGCCAAAGCATCCAAGATGTGCCTGGTACTGATGACTTTCCAAGGAGTCTTGTTCATTCTTTCTCCTATTTCCGGAGCACTCCACTGGCGCTCTGCCACCTCTACCGAGACTCCGCTCCTCCGGTCTCCTTCGGTCTGCCGGGCCTGATCCGCCGCAGCGGCACCTCCAGGATGGACGCGAGCCTGGGACCGGTGTCTCCACGAAGGGAAGGAAAACGCCACGGCAGTGGGTGTTTGGGGCAGTGGCCTCTTGGAAGCCTCTTTGAAGCGAAGACGCTTTGGCATGGATCCACTACGTCGAAGCACCCCTTTAGAACCGGGTGTTTCGCCCCCGCGGCGGACGGACGGCATGAGGAACACACCGAGGTGCTTGAGGAAGAGCGCACGCAAGCCCTTGATGCTATCGGGCGAGCTGGAAAACAAGTTCCCCATCGCCTGGCGGAGGAGCGAGGATATGACAAGCACCCGGTGCGGAGGACGAGGCATGGCCACATAAAATATGACAAGTATCAGATTGTCAATGCTAGTGTCCCACGGATATGACAAGTATCCATTGACCCCTCCAGTCATCCCATAGGGGATTAGCATCCCCTATCCTAAAGATTCCTATAGTCATTTGATGTGGCACAGGAAGTTCGGTCGAAACTCTGAGGATTCTGTAGAAAGGGTGCCCCCCGCCCCCGGCGGATGAACTCTGACGGTCTGGTTGAAGTGCCCAGCTTTGCTCCGAACACAGGTGAACAAGGGGTGAAAACGATCCTCAGTCAAAACGTCTGAAGGACCACACAGGTGTTCAGGAAAGACTAAAGGCAAATGCTTTGAGTCTCCAAAGAATTGCTGACTCCACAACGCCCAAAAATTGAACGCCCCTGCCACACAGAACAAACTTCAGGATGTCCAAGGATACACCACGTACCAAGGCAGACGTCGAGATGCAGTTTGCAGGGCCAGTTCTGACCTCCACCGCGTCGCGCGGTTGCCTTGTCGACAAGGTCGGCTGGGTTTTTGAGAGGAAGACGAGCCGACGGCGAACCCCGTCCCGCTGCACCGAAAAGAACCCCAAAATCATCCAAAATCCGAAGAGATCAGCTGAACCCATCGCAATGCCACTGGCTGATCCTCTCGGGCATCGTGGTCAGATGGTGGGTGAAGATGGTGGGTTCCGCCCACGCCACGCACCCTCACGAACTGTTTGAACATCTACGAAAGCTACGATGCGAGGATTCAAATCCAATCCATCTCCAATCCCATGTTCAAGCAGGGAAGCCACTACCCTAGTAGCTCCACCCTCCTCCCAACGAATCGGGCGCTTGGCCGGCACGTACTGACCACATGTCGCCTCTTTATAACCGGCCAAGGCGTGCCAGGCATAGGACAGGTCGGCCACCGTCTCAATGGTGCTCAGCATCTCCTCTCATGGACGATGAAGAAACTGTATAAGGCTCAAATCATAAGACCCAGTTGGCAGGTGTTGGTCGCTTTTTCACAAGGAGAGTGCCATCTAAGGCACCGGAGTGCCATTCCGGAGCACCAGTTGAGGTCTCTGGACGTCTTCATGGAGGATCCGGAGCGTCTTCAGCTGAGTACTTTGAGCAGAGATGGCCCATGTGACAGGCTTCACCTTTGAACAAGCCGAACGGAAGTTGGCCCTTTGAACAGCTGGCAGATGGCGCTGATCCAAGGCTCAGAGGTCTGACGCGGGTTCTGCTGGCAGGTGGCACCAGATTCAAGAGCCCTCAATGGGTGTGTATTCCATGTAGGGAGACCTATTATAAAGATCCCCCAGAAGGAAAATCGACCCAAAATCCATTGGGGTCAGGGGCTCTGCAGATTGAAATACACCTCCTGGCCTCAATTTGATTGGAATACCGGAACACCGTCTCCTCATTCAAGTTGGCAGTGCGCAGCATGCGTTGCAGCAGTTGCCTGGACCAGGTGGTCACTGCGTGGAAGGGCGAGCTCGAGGGACATGGACTGGGCCGGCAACCGACAATCCAAAAAAACTTACCTGGGCCATCCAATGGGTGTCCTGTCTGGAGATCCCCAAGTAGTGTAGGGTAGTCCAGCCTGGACACCCAGACAGGATGGTCTTGGTATATTAGTTTCAGAGTCGATGGCACGTTTCCCCAAGATGCCCTAGACAGTTGGGGATCATAAACCACCGAACTTGGGGTAACTTGTGCCGTCTGCTCATGCCATCCACTTCCAGGACCATAGACTCAGGGAGTGTATCTTCAACAGCTTTTTGGGTGAAACGAACCCCTTGGTTTATCGTGGGCATAGCAAAAAGGGGTGTCCGAAGGTGCTGGCACTCCAAGTTTCCCAAGCAGGTCTGGTGTATGAAACACCTTGTTTGAAACAAGCGCTGCGTCCGTTCAGGGCCATCATAGGTGGGCTGGCAACCTCCTTGTTATGAGAGGATTGAGTGGCAACCTCCTTTCGAACATCCTGTCAACTCATGTCTCTTTGGTCAGTCTTTTCTGGTTTTCTGGGCCCTGCTAGTTGAGATCCAAAAAGAAACATGAATATTGTTGTCAGATCCAGGCACGTCAGTCTTGCTGCGCCAGACTCCAC